GCTTTCGTACGATGAGAAGAACGTTGACACGCTGAGCAACTTCGACGATGACATTGATGAAAATTCTATGGAAGAGGACCCGGAGCTAAAGGACACGGCAAGTGACTCATCCAAACCCCTTATCTCTTACTCTGGGTCATGTCCTTCTTCGCCACCTTCTGTGATCTCCAGTATTGCTGCTTTGGAGAATCAAATGAAAATGATTGATTCTGTCATGAACTGTCAGCAGCTGACCAGTTTGAAATCCATAGAAAATGGATCAGGGGAAAGTGACCATTTGAGCAATGACTCCTCATCAGCCGTCGGTGATCTCGAAAGCCAGAGTGCAGGCAGCCCTGCAATGTCAGAGTCTTCTTCCTCCATGCAAGCTTTGTCTCCTGTAAATAGCAATAGCGAAAGTTTCAGATCAAAGTCCCCAGGTCTCAGTAACCAGGAAGAGCCACAAGAAATACAATTAAAGACAGAAAAACCAGACAGTCCACCACCCGCAACTGAAAATGGAGGCGCATTAGATCTGACATCCACCAACCCGGGAAGACCGGTCATCAAAGAGGAGGCTCCTTTTAGCCTGCTGTTCCTGAACAGAGAACGTGGTAAGTTTAAAAGTACTGTTTGTAATATCTGTGGCAAGCCTTTTGCTTGTAAGAGTGCATTGGAAATTCACTACCGCAGCCATACTAAAGAACGTCCATTTGTTTGTACAGTCTGCAGTCGTGGGTGTTCCACTATGGGTAATTTAAAACAGCACTTACTGACGCACAAATTAAAAGAGCTGCCTTCTCAGTTATTTGAACCCAACTTTACTCTAGGTCCCAGCCAAAGTACTCCTAGCCTGGTCACCAGTACAGCACCTACCATGATCAAAATGGAAGTGAATGGTCACAGCAAGCCGATCTCTTTGGGTGAGGTTCCCTCGCTTCCAGCTGGAATCCAGGTTCCTGCTGCACCACAGACAGTGATGAGTCCGGGGATCACCCCTATGCTGGCACCCCCCCCTCGCCGGACTCCCAAGCAGCACAACTGTCAGTCGTGCGGGAAGACCTTCTCCTCAGCAAGTGCACTGCAGATACACGAGCGCACCCATACCGGTGAAAAACCGTTTGGTTGCACAATCTGTGGTAGAGCTTTTACCACAAAGGGGAATTTTAAGGGAAGGGGCAAAAACAAACTGAAAAGGCCGGGGGGGGGGGGGGGTTAAGGCACTGTACGTGAACCGAGCAGGTTTTGGGGCTAAGTGGTTGTCCCAAAGGCAGGAGAGAAGGGAGCTTCGAGGAAATCCTTGCTGTACGGCAGTGGTTAGTGTGCGTTCAAGATAGGGACTGGAAAGCAGCTGCGCAATGACGCAAACTCTAAAACCGGGTCCGGGTGTACGTGCACGCGCGTTGTCGTTCTCCTGACAGACGTGATGGCACATGCAGTCCGCTGATGGACGTGTTCTGGCAGTTCTGGTGGACCATCAGCGCAAAATAACCTCGCTATAAACCAGAAACGCAGAGCTTGCTCAGCTCCTTGGGTGCCTCTCAAATTCCTATTTCTATTCTGCTTTGCAGCCATTGCAGACTAGAAAGCTGTTTCCCACTGATTTACAGCGAGTTACTACAGGACTGATGCCTCTTATTCCCGCAGTCTGGTTAACCATCAGGACACAGCCTGGGGAATACATTTTAAAATGTCCTTTTTAAAAATGTTAAATTTAGCAAAATAACCGATGCCTCTGACGTGAGAGAAAGTATTCTGAAAATAGACAAGACGTAAAAAGGGGAAGGGCAGAAAAATCCACCCATCTCCTAGTCCAAGTAATGCCCTTCGTTCTCTACAGCCTGTGAGGACTTTCAGCTTGCATGTGAAATTGTCTAACCTAAGAGGATACGTACTCTTTATTGTCATGGCGCTGCGTTTGTTTTCACTGAGAAGAAACAAATGCACGTGGAAAAATTACTACGGAGCTGGGTTTTCTTTGTATAGGTTGACCGGGCCTTAGAACTCTGTCTTAACTGGAATTAATTGGTTTTCAATGTGAATTAAAAGGCATTTTTTCTAAAAAAGCGAGCGGTACTGTAAGTAACAGCATTTCAGGCCAGCCACCTGACCAGGCCGTGCTAACTTGGGGGTGCTTCTTGTCCCGGTTTGCTCCGCAGGTTCACATGGGAACCCACATGTGGAATAACGCCCCCGCGCGCCGCGGCCGCCGCCTCTCCGTGGAAAACCCCATGGCTCTGCTGGGTGGCGATGCCCTCAAGTTCTCCGAGATGTTCCAGAAGGATTTGGCAGCTCGGGCCATGAACGTTGACCCCAATTTTTGGAACCAATACGCTGCAGCTATCACTAACGGACTTGCGATGAAGAACAATGAGATTTCTGTCATACAGAACGGCGGCATTCCCCAGCTCCCCGTAAGTCTAGGCGGAGGGGCCATCCCGCCTCTAAGTAACCTTACCGGTGGCATGGACAAAGCTCGCACGGGCAGCAGCCCTCCCATTGTCGGTCTGGACAAAGCAAGTTCTGAAACGGGAGCCAGTCGTCCATTCACCAGATTTATTGAGGATAATAAAGAGATTGGCATAAATTAAAAGCATTCGTTCCGAATAACTGTTGGACCGCTACTCGACACAACACTTGTCCTGTTCCATGTACAGCTTTTGAAGCTAAGCGGTAGTTTCCTGACCTAAACGCATAGGTTCCCTTTAAAGTTTTACCCATAGCAGAAATACATAACTTTGTGGCTGCTGAAAAGTTGTCTTGCAAGATCTGCATGGTACTTCTTTCAACAGTGAGTTTGACTGTTACTGAGAACTTTGAAACCTTTTAATTTAACAGAAAGCAAACAAACAAACAAATCACAGGATAACTTCATTAGAAACAGAAAGAGGCTAGTCTGCGTCCACTTCGCTTCTTACAAAACTTACCATCGCCTGAGAAAGGGGGGCTTCATTATGGCATTCTGTCACACTTATTTGCTGGTTTTGTTCAAATTAGTTAGCAACTTGGACTATGTTTTTAGGAATCTTAATCTTAAATAAGTGATTTAGTACCCCAATGCTGTGTATTATTACAGTATCCTTGTCTGTAGTATTTATAATGTTAAGATTATGCGGGTAACAGACAATATACTAGCCCCAAACTTAAATGAAGCTTTTGTACTGCAAAATACATCTGGCTATGTGATTTTTCTTTTATTTTCTTTTTTTTTTTTTTTTAAGCAAGTTTTGTTTTCCTATAAATAAGTGGTTTATTTCAATGCAGGCAAAATTGTGAAGTTTTATTGGGAAAGATAGCATGCTTTTCATGTGCAAGTACCTGTCAGTAACAAACCTTTTTTTATTTAAATATTTGTAGCTGCTATGTGGACAGTTGTTCTATTAAATGAAAAAAAAATGTAGTGTGGACTTTAGCTCAATGATTGGAAAACAAGTTACAGACAAACCTTAGCACCATAAATTATTCACAACATTATAAACAGTTGTGAGTAAATACTCCATGTTATCAAAGCTGTACAATAAAAAGGTAATGTTTGTATAATGTGGTTGCAAACTCTTAATTTATACTATTGCACTTTTAGTATTTTGTATTAGGGAGGTTTGTCTATAATTTGAAACTGAACAAAGATGTAAACTATTTTATAAATAGTACTTTGACTTAAGGAATAAGGAGGAGAACCCTGTTGCAGTTTCTCGTTTTATTTTAAGGTCAAACAATGAGAGATCTCTATTAACTAAGCAGAAAAGCCGCAGAGAACTGTCAGATCCTTAGGAAATATGGGGCCTGCCATTTCTTAAATGGAAATGATTCATTTAACTTTTCTACAAAGCCCACTTAAAAGCGTGACCACCCCCGACAGAATTCTGATACATTTATCTTAGGAGTGTGATATTAATACAAGTCTAGGATAGAGGAAGGAGAACATTGTGTAGGTTTAATTTTACTGTAATCTGTTCTGTCTCTTTCACACATACCCACAAGAAAGATGTCGACTGCCTAATAACACGGGAACAAAATAATAACTTTTGGGCAGCGTGAGCAGTAGTAATATAGAAATATTCTGTATCTATTTCCAACTCTTGCTGATTATCTTCTCAGATTGCTCCAAAGCACAATGTACTCTGATTAATCGAATATAATTTTATGTTGATTGCGTTGTTTAAATTACACCGAGTAAATAAAGGGAATGGTTCCACTCGTAAGCTAGGCTGGGGATGCTGAGGAGACTGGGGCTTAATCAAAACTTGAAGAGTAAACGTTTTGTGTACTACCTCATTTTTGTGCATTACAAGCATGGTGGAGTTGACACTATGAACTTCCGTCCAGCAGAATTGCTTGAGGGACATTATGGGTAGCTGGGAAACAGCGCAAGGAGTTTTATGCCCCTGAAGGACGAATCAGACAGTGAGGTCTTCTCAGTTGAGACTGAAAAATAGGACAATCTTTCTTATACAACAAAAACCATTACTGTAAGAGGATGGACTATTCCTGCCATCGTGTAATGGAGTGAAAAGAGGTTCAAAGACTTATTAGCTGTTTGTTTCTATTGGAAATGAACAATGAACTCCACAGCTCCATTTTCTACAGTGATGAGATAGAGATATATAGATATATATATATCTATATATAAGCAAAATTATATATCTGTAACACCTCTACAATATAACATCTTTTTTGCCACAGTGTGTGGGTGGTTAGGGGTGTTTCCAAGCATTGAAAAAAAAAAAGAAAACTGAGGTGGCTTAATGTTGCTGTATTTCAGCAATTGAATGTTTTTATTTATCTGTGTCATTTTTGGTGTGACTTTTTTTTTGGTTAGTATTTGGTACCATGTAGTGTTATCTCTATTCCCTAAAGGATGTGTATAACTTAAAAAAAAGAAAGAAAAAAAAAAAAAAAAGAGAAGAAAAAATGAAAAAGGAAAAAAAAAAAAAAAAAAAAAAAAAAAGAGAAGAAAAAATGAAAAAGGAAAAAAAAGAAAAAAGATGTAAAGTGTTGTAAATAAGATGGTTGATGATGGT